CCGGGATCCCTACCCCCATTCAACCACCCCTGTTCCCCGCCTTCTGACTGCCCCGACCCCTATCCACACCCTCGCTCCCTGACCACCACCCCGAACTCCCCTGCCCTCTATCCAACCCCCCCGCTCCCTTCCCTCTTACCGCGCTGCCTGGAGCACCGGTGGCTGGCGGCACTACAGCCGCGCCGCCCAGAGCACCGAGTCAGGCCACGGCTCTGCAGCTGCGCTGCCTGGCTGCCCGGAGCATTGCGCCGACGGTGCAGTGAGCTGAGGCTGCGGGGGAGGGGGAACAGCAGGGAGGGGCCAAGGGCGAGCCTCCCCGGCCAGGAGCTCAGGGGCCGGGCAGGAGGGTCCCGCGGCCGGATGTGGCCCACGGACCATAGTTTGCCCACCTCTGGTCTAGATAATACTCAGTCCTGCCTTGAGTGCAGGGGTCTGGACTAGATGACCTCTCGAGGTCCCTTCTAGTTTTATGATTCTATGATTGATCAGCTCCTTGTCCCATGGCAGGAGAACGCCATGTTACCGACCCTGTTTGAGCATCTCTCTCACTGGCCAAAGGCCTGTTCTGCCAAATACTGCTTACCAATGCACTTCCTCGGCGTCTCCCATGCCAGCCCAGCCCCGGCCCGGCCCGGCGGCGAGTGGAGTTGGCCGAAAGACAGTGGAGATTATTCACAGCCCTTTAAGCAAAACAGAAACTGGATTTCCATTCGCCATCTTTTCTCATTTGCTTTTGTGCGAGCAGGTTTTGGGTTCGTGTGGCTTTGGGGCCCCGCCCCTGGCTGATCCTCGTTCTGCGATGACGTAGCAGACTCCCTCGCAGCACAGCTGCCCCTCGCTGTGGTGCCCGCGTAGGAGGATGAATCTGTGCTGCTGGTGCCCCGGTTAGGGCTGGCCCCTGGCATCCGTATGGGGTCGAGTCATGGGTTTTTTGCACTGCTGCCTCTTTTGTTCATTGCATGACTCCTGACGGGTCCAGAGCCCTGACACAGAGGCTCTACCTGTCTCCTTCCCCTGCATCTCCCATGAGCGGGACGCTTCTGATTCTCCGGCTGTCGGTCAGCTGCCTCTTGGCCTGCGGCTGGTGACCCAGTTCCAGGGCTTTGCGCGTCGATACGCACCGCCGACAAAATCCACCTGGTGGTGCCAGTGCCCGTCTGCGGCCGGCGCTTCGCTGCTCCCTGTGCCGCCCAGGGGGACGTTTTCCTGCAGCTGCGGCGGTTCCTCCGGAAACCTGCCGTGGCTGTAATTGCCGTGCTCTGAGGAGATGAAGCTGTTCTGCATTGTTAGCTCTGCAGGAAATGGATCAGCGAGTGCGCTGGGAAACCATCTCCTCTCTCTAACGCGGGGGGGTGCAGATGCACGACTGAGGGTCTGGGTCTGTGAGCTGAAGAGGGGCTGGTGCTGTCAAACCAAGTGTATGCTTTATAGAAACAGTGGGCTTGCCAGAGCCAAACAGGAATAGAAATGGGCCTGGGGGAGAGGTGTTAAATATCACTGGGAACGGAGTTGTGGATTTAAACTTCTCACCTGCAGTGCTGGGAAACACAAATATAATCAGCCCATTGGTTCTGCTCCTCCCCACTAGTGAGTGCTCCATATAAAAGGATAAGAGCCTACTACTGCGACCTGTTAATGGACATGCTCCTTTAGCTCAAGTGGCAGAGGCTCCTGGAGTTAGCGCTGAAAGTCCTGGGTTCAGTTCTTGCTCGTGACCCCTAATAGGGAGCCATCACACAAACCCAACAGCCTTGAAGGAGTGGGTGAGAAGCAGAAGCCCAGCTCCTCAGCTGGTGTCGATCAGGGGAGGTTCACTGACTCCTGCGGAGGATCTGGACCCCAAAGGGAAGGTGACCCGCCTAGTTTCCAAGTGGAGTGAAATTGCAACAGAGGACACAAGCAGCATTGGGGTGAGCAGCCGGTTAGATTCCTGGAAGAGCTGTTTGCCACTGTGCCCCAGAACCCTTCTCCCCACTGGGCTATGGATGTGTGCTCTCTCCCAAGTGTGCAGCATCGATCACTCTCTAAGCAGTGACGCTTCCTGCCAGTTGGTGCCCAGTGCAGGACTCTACACCAAACCAAAACAGCACCGGTGGAAGCAGGCTCCCTTCAGCCTCCTGCCAGTTGCTTCATGCCTTGCCTTTGCGTTTACACCGAGGATGACTAGCGGCCGGCCAGCCCTCTGCACATTGGGGCGAGGTGCCTGTGAGCACTGGGGCTCGCTCACTAGCTGCCAATGGCTTCTTGGCTGAAATCCATTGGATAGAGCCAGTGCCCTCAGATGGCCATAACTCCAAAAACCTTTGTGCATTGATAAGCTGTCGTCCTCCTGGGGATCTGATAGAAACACCACAGTCCCTCCCTTGCCTCACCCCGTAACCAGGGGCCCATAGAAACACCACAGTCCCTCCCCCACCTCACCATGTAACCAGGGGCCCATAGAAACACCACAGTCCCTCCCTTGCCTCACCCCGTAACCAGAGGCCCATAGAAACGCTACATCCCCTCCCCCACCTCACCATGTAACCAGGAGCCCATAGAAATGCTGCATCCCCTCCCCCACCTCACCCCATAACCAGGGGCCCATAGAAACACCACAGTCCCTCCCCCACCTCACCCTATAATCAGGGGCCCTAGAAATGCCAAATCTCCTCCCCCCCACCTCACCTGAACTCGGGGCCCATAAGGAACAAATGGGTCAGATTTCAAGGCTGTATGTAGAAAGTTGAACGGTTGAAATCCCGAGGCAGGTTGGTGACTGTGATGGGAAAGTCGGTCGGAGATCAACATGGCCTGGGAGCGCCTGCCATGTGTCAAGATGCTGGCTCCATGGGGACATGGAAATGACGGCACTGTCATGCCGGGACAGGCCTCCACCTGGGATGAGGTGGGGGAGAAGCAGAGAGTGAAACTGACTAGGCTGTTGTCATTGTCCAAGGGGAGTGAGATGCAGGGGCGCAGCCGGCACTCCAGACTCTAAGAATCCCGGATACATCAAAGCTTGCCCGAGTCAGATTTGCTGGATCAGGGCTTCCAGTGCCTGGTGCACTCCCCCATGCACGCTGCCCCACACGCCCACGTACCCTGCCCCATCCCTGCACACTCAGCTCTGCATCTCTTTTTTAACCTAACATGAGCTCTGCTACTTGTCTCCTCTCCGCAGCGTCGTTGCTGAAGCTCTGGTACCGGGAGCTGGAGGAGCCGCTGATTCCCCACGAGTTCTACGAACAGTGCATCACCCACTACGAGAACCCAGAGGCAGCCATCGCAGTCATCCACTCCTTGCCCAGGATCAACAAAATGGTGCTCTGCTACCTCATCCGCTTCCTACAGGTAGGGCAGGGGGACGGGCTCCAGCCTGGGGGTCACCCACGGGTGTGTTGATCCTGTCCTCTGCCTTGTCACTCAGCTCACTCCCAGCTTCGCTGCATTTATGGACGCTATTGCATTGACCCTTGTGTTATGGGGGTTTGGTACTGTACCACTCAGCCACCGTAAAGAAGACAGATAAGTGCACTGACATTGTTACTAGGGCTGTCAAGCGATTAAAAACATTAATCACAATTCATTGAGCAATTAACAAAATTAATTGCAATTAATCATGCAATTAATCATGCTGTTAAACAATAACAGAATACTATTTATGTAAATATTTTGGATGTTTTCCATATTTTCAAACATATTGATTTCAATTACAACACAGAATACTAAGTGTACAGTGCTCACTTTATATTTATTTTTTATTATAAGTATAAAAAGAAAGAAATTGTATTTTTCAATTCACCTAATACAAGTACTGTAGTGTAATCTCTTTATCATGAAAGTTGAATTTACAAACGTAGAATTATGTACAAAAAATAACTAAATTCAAAAATAAAACCATGTGAAACTGTAAAGCCTACAAGTCCACTCAGTCCTACTTCTTGTTCAGCCAATCGCTCAGACAAACAAGTATCAGGGGGTAGCCGTGTTAGTCTGTATCTACAAAAACAACAAGGAGTCTGGTGGCACCTTAAAGACTA